GTTCTTACCACCGAAATTCAAGATCTTATCATTTTTGATGAGATCATGCTAAAGAAGATTGATATTTCTGAGGAAAGTGAAATTTGTACAAAAGAAGAATTCATCAAGAAACAACGAGAAAGCTATCAGGCGCTTTTTAATATGATCATTGGTGATTTGCCCAAAGATGCAAGAGAATATATCACGCAGCATCGTAGAGAGTACAAAACAAACCTGTATCTTCACAACAAGTTTGTTTTAAAACTTCATAACACGAATACTGATAGATTAAATACATTCTTAGAAACATATGATGACGAGATCAAAGTGAAGATCATGAATGTAATTGTGTACCAAGACTTGTTTATCATTTGTATGAAACATGAGGTAGTTTAGAAATAAAAAAATAAATAAATTTTATTATCAATAAAGAATACAAGTTTATTTCTTTTATTTTCACATTCAGTAATCTATCTTTAATTCTTTACATTTTTCTTGTGCTACTTTGATGCCCATCTTGGCAGCCTGTCTGATGTATGGTTTTCCCTCATCCAACTGGTCTATCTCTTTGTAAGCGATACCTAATGCGTAGTAAATCGCAGGTTTGTTTAGTTCTAATGCGATCTTTAGATACTTGATCACAGATCTTGCATCGGATCTAAACATGATGTTGGCATATGCTTCTGCGGCTTTTAATCGGTACATGGATGATTCATCATCAGCCATGTCTTGAAAGATTCTACAAACCACTTTTGTTTCGGCAAATGGAACATGTTCTGAGTGGTACCACACTCCGATCTGGTATCTGGCCTTGTCAGAGAGCTGACAGTCTTTGGTCTTGGAGAGTTCGGACATGATTCTCACAAGAAAGTAGTAGTTTCTCCTGTCTCGAGATCGGCCAGTGCTCACATGTTTGAATTCTCTTAGACATCGCTCGTACAGATCATTGCCCTCTTCCAGGTTCATGTCACGGATCTTGTAGAAATTCTTGTCTAACAGATAGATTCGCATCTCATCACTCAGATCATATGCTCCATCTCGCATGAACCAATTCATATC